AATTAAGTCATATATATGGATTTAATTATGAAAACAGAATGATCCAGGTATCAAAATGTAGCTTTTAAAGCCAAGAATCTGAAACTGTAATTGGGTCATTTTGACCAAATTTGACTTAATCCTCATTTTGATATGATGGGTCACAATTAAATTCACTTTATCTAGGAGGCACAAATATGGATAATATTTATTTTTACAACAACAAGCTGGAATGAAAAAAAGCAAAAATGAAATAAAAGTAACGACTTTCTACTTGACTTTTTACAAAATGTAAGGGTAGAAAGTACAGATAATTGTGTGAAAATGTAAGAAGTAGAAGTAAAAAGTAGGTTGAAAATAATAACTCAAGWAAARTACAGATACCCAAAAATTCTACTTAAGTACRTTTACAAAGTATTTGTACTTAGTTACTTTACAACTCTGCTAGAAGCAGTGCCTTGGAATTTCTGCGTCACCATCTCTCCTCCTTGATTTTTTTCTTCTCTTCTTTCCCTCCATGACAGGCTAGCATCGCAGCTGGTCGGCAAAGCTCTTCACAGAATGGCACTTCATCTCAGCAAACAGGGTCTACTCAGGCTACGGTGAGCGCAGTTTTGAGTGTCGGCCCATCGTCCTGAAAGCCTCTTCATGTTTAGGTGGTCTTTATGAGGCCATCATAGAACTTAATTAACTCTAAACTTAGAATCATCCATCATTGGCTCCTTTTGCTTCTTTTATTTTACGTTTTAAGAGATGAAAAGCAATCTTCGCAACAAACAGCTGCGTTGGAAGTATCTTGTGTACATATACTTCAGCAGTCACAGACGTGCGTAAACAAAACTGTTAATTTCTCCCCACAGATCAACCTGACCACCTCCCCAGCAGCAGCTCAGTTGATCAGCCGGGCCCAGAGCATCAGCTCCACCCCCACCAGTATCTCACAGCAAGCTGTTCTCCTCGGCAGCCAGTCCAACCCCACTCTCAGCCAGGCGCAGATGTACCTGCGTACGCAGATGGTGAGAGCACGGAGACGGGGAGCGTAGCCACTGGCACATTCACACAAGCATGCATTCATCAACACAAACGGGTTTAGAAATCGGTCGAGTAAACAACAYGAGCCTAATTACGTTCTTTCAAGACCGTGTGTTTAATGAGTCTGTGTTTGGATTTGTGTGAACCACCTAGTCTCATATTGCTTCCAGAATAGGTGGACCTCTCATCTGTCATACCCTAAAAACCTCAGGAAGTTTAGAAGCAGCTTGAATATAAAATAATCATTTCATAAGCTGAACCTCGTATTCCCCCTAAAAATAATTGTTGAAAGTTTATAACAAATCTGATTTGATGTAGCTGGTTGTTTCTAATGTGTCYGTCTCAGTTTGCAATCAGTTTCTGACACAGAACTCTCATTATATTTACATTCTGAAATTTGGGGAGCTCTGTAMGTTTAATTACTGTCAAAAAGCAAAGCTAACCCTCTTTTCTCTGTGGTTCAGGTGGCCAGGAGCTTGGGTCGGGCCGTTCCTCTTCCCTCGCAGCTCATCTTCACTCCAGCCGCAACAGTGACGGCGGTCCAGTCAGAAAGTTCCTCACAGGTTATTATTTCACCATATTGTCACAAAAAGTATATGTTCCTTACAATAATTCAAAAATCCATCAGAAGGGAGTACAATTTTGTCATCCATTCAGCAGATTATCTTTTTTTTGTTGTCCTTTTTAGAAGGTGACCTAACATAATRTGGTCAAAGGTTGTCTCTTGCTAGTTTTTCCAATGTGGGYGCAACTCCTACATTGGTTTTACTACACCTGGTATTTCTAGATGGTCTCCCATCCAAATACTAACCAAGTCCAGCTCTGCTTAGCTTCCAGGATCAGATGAGAGCTGGCATATTCAGGGTGGTACGGCTGCTGGTTTGTTAGAATTATTCAGAAAAACATCAGAAAGGAGATTATCAATAACATTTTAAAAATATGTCAGTTTTTTTAAACAGAAATGTACCAAAAAAAAAAAAAACAAACAAAACAACAGAACAAAATTCACTTTTATTAGTTGTAATGTCCCTCCTGCATCTGTTTAATTTTCAGAACCAGGTCCAGAATCTTGCGATCCGCGGCCAGCAGGGGGCGACCACATCCTCCTCTCAGACTCAGACCCCTCAGGCTCTCACTCTGAAGCAGAGCCCGGTGCCTATTCAGCCCGCTTCACTCATCAAGAACCCCAGCCAGGGAACCCAAACCTCCACGGGGGGGAAGTCCGGTTCTTCCGACAGCCACGCCGATGGAGCAAAGAAGGGCGACGGCCCGGCGGTCACAGAGGTTCGCGCTCTAAATATGAGCCGCAATGTTACGGCTGTCAGCGCTCAGTCTCTTATCGCACCAGGTAAGAGGAACTTTTTTTAAAAAATATTTWAAAACTATATGCAGGAAAACAGTGACACACGCACAATCTTTGRTCTGAAATGACTCATTAAGATATGAACGAGTAATCCTTGAAGCAAGTTTAAACATCTTGACTCATTTTTTCAAGACTTTCAAATGAGTTTTTTGTCTTTATTGTATGACTATTTAGGAGTTTAAAAGTTGCAAAGACATAACCAACTGAAAACAAAATGTTAAATTAAGAAAAAATTGCACATTATTTTTCTCATAATGATCGTTATTGTGTCCTTAAGTGAAAAATTTAAGCAAAATTTGTGAGTGGATGCTGTTTATCTTGTGCATTTGTTTACCTGTGGAAGCGACTGAAGTGACTGAAAATAAGAAAAAAAAATGAGGTCTATGGAGAGCTTTTTGGATCATTAAATCTGACGACATTGATGTATTGATTTGTGTTTATGCTCAGATTTCTTGAATGAAGTATGCAGATAAAAAAAAAAATCGGTTGAATTGAAATGATAAAGTGTCTAGAAAAGTTTTGCAGAAACTACTTGTGCTTGAATACCAGTGGTGATCCTCAGTATTTTTATACTTATTGTCTTACTTGATTGTTTTCTTTTCTTTTATGTTTAGCAGCAGCAAATTATTTTGTTTTTCCACCTAAATGTCTTCTTTGAGTTCAGCGTCATATTTGTTAACCTACAGGCCATGGCCACTTGGTTTTCTGCTTATTTAACTAGCTTTGCTATCAGTATTGCATATCAATATTGTATATCTGGAAAACTACCAAAGTAAACTCTTTCAAACTGCACTATTTGACATCGTTCAGGATAACCTTTTATTTCATGCTTTGTTAACGGTGAACTTTAAAATGCCACACCATCTATCGCAAAAACAAAACAAAACAAAAAAAAAACAAGTCAGCTTCTATTCTTTAAAGTTTTATATTATTTCGTTATAGACACTAACATTAAACATTTCATCGAAAGTTTGTTTTCAATTTTTGCAGCCAGGTAATTTAAACAGCTCAACTGCCTGCCAGCTGCTTCGTGCTTCTTTTTGAAACAGATGCTCACGTCAAACCTAAAATAAACCYGAGGTTTCAAGCAGCTGTCAAATCCACGGCAGATATGCACCCCTGTGTTTGTAGTAAGCTGAGATGAGAAGGCGTTTACACTTTGTACTTTTAGGAGCTGTTTTTTTTTCATACTGTGACTTGTCAGGGCCTGTATCACAAATCCATTCACTCACTATAAGGGTGAAACCAGGCGTATTATAAACAATGTGTCGGAACGGTCTAGCTGCTTTGTGAGAGCCACACTCCCAGCACAAGAGTGTTCCTAAACCACTTATTTGTGTAATTGAAAGTCGGCAGTTAGGTTTATTTTTCCTCTTCTTTAAATTGCAAGTTAGCCCTCAGTACAGGCGGATTACATCAAATTAAGTCTAGTTTGTTCTGATAAATTTCCTCATTCTTAAGAGACTCCTGGTGAGAAAAAAAACCTACCATCAAATGGTTTTTATGGAAGTCTGCATTACGTTTATAGACAGGATGCTGTTTATGGATAATTTTGTTGTCGTCTGCCTGCTAAAACGTGTGCGTTWTCTGTTTTTCTGGTTTGCGGGGCTGTGAAGGGAGTGGGAGGAGGGATTATCTGAGCGTGTCAGTGCACAACTGCGTCTTGCTTTGTTTCAGTAATGGATTCGCATAAAATGAAAGRGAGGATGGAAGCCGAAAATCTGGCTGCATGCTGTCTGGGAAAATAAATAAAAAACTAAAAAAAAATCTTGAGTTGCCATGGCAGCGGGCCACGAGGGACAGGTGTGCAGACGAGATGCTGGGGAGTTAATTTACWGTTGATCGGTAGCAGAGGAAGCTGTAGATGTTGGGATTCAGAGATGAATGGAAGCTTGGTTTCCTTCGCTCTGATTGGATCATGTCATTGATATTTTTTATCCAGTTATTTTAAATGTTCAGTTATTTTTCATAGCTCTTGAATTGAAAGTTCAAAATAATTGTCTGAATTGAAGATGAGTGAAATTTTCAGACTTTGTTCAAAACATCTTCAAAACTCAAGCAACAAAACAACTTTGCTAAAATCTCAATATGTTTGAGACTTCCTAACATTTCTTGCCAACTAGCGACAGCCCAATGAGACCTTAAAGGGGCAATATTATGTGTTTCTCAGGCATATATTTAAATTCTATACTATAATAAAGTATCTATGTCAGCTTTAGTTGTTATTAAAATGCAGTTTTTATGTTTAAATAGAAAAAAACTTGTCTTCTCATCATTTCTGTTAGGGATGCACCGATATGAAAATTTCAGCCGATATCGATATCTGATATAATTAGTGCTATTATGGTCAATAACCTATATTTACCGATATTACACAAACACACAAATTACATTAATAAGTAAGTAAGTAAGTAAAAATTTTATTTATAGAGCACCTTTCACAGAAATGGAATTCACAAGGTGCTGTGCAATAATCATTAATATAGAAGAGTTGATTGGCAGCAAGTGCTTTACAATAATCGAACACAAATAGAAAAACAGAAATACTTGACAATTACATTACAAATGATGAAATTCTGGTCAATACTTTCTCAAATTTTTGGAATAGTAAGGGGCATGGGATAACAATGAAGGAGAAAAAGTAATTAAGGTATATACAATAGATAGGCTTGCCTGTAACTAATTGGAGTCGATGGTCATGGCGTATAAGATGTAAATGAATCGATACCAGTCTGAAGTAAAATACGTGTTTTGCAGTCAAGGAAATTTAGGTTCAGGATTATGTTGTGGACGGCAGGATACCTTCAGCTAAATGCTTGAGTGAATAGATGTGTTTTTAGTTGATTTTTAAAGRTGTCAGTGTTATCAAGGGAGCGCAGATGGGCCGGGAGAGCGTTCCAAAGTCTGGGAGCCATGGAGGAGAAAGCACGGTCTCCGTGGGTCTTGAGACGGGTAGGGGGGACCATGAGAAGGTTCTGATTTTGTGAATGCAAATTGCATGTTGGATTGTAGTGGGAGATGAGGCTCGAGATGTAGTTGGGCGCCTGGCCATGTAGGGCTCTGAAGGTCAGAACTAGGATTTTGAATCTGAGTCTGAAGTGGACAGGAAGCCAGTGAAGCTCTGAAAAGATCGGAGTAATGTGGGAGAGTTTCGAAGTGCGAGTTAGAAGTCACATTATACATAATATGCAGAATGTTTGGGTCTTTTCTTGATACTGTAAATAAACGACCAGACGTCTGACATGGCTCCCACTTCAGTTATTCCTGGCTGCGCAGTATCAATATCACTATCATGATCAAACAAATGCTGCTCAACCAACCATCTCCCCTCCCAAAACAGAAACACAAAGCTAAAAAGTGGGGAATCAATATTGAATGTTAATATCGGCCCTGTTGTACGTATCGGACCGATACCAATATTCTAAAAAATTACCAATATTGGCCGATACCGATATGAATGCCGATATATCGTGCATTCCTAATTTCCGTTTCTAAACACCTTGAAATTGACCTCTGTCTCTTTAAGAACCTCCTTYTGCTTCTGTCCCACMCATTTCATCACATCATCACAGCCGCTTCTCTACAGGACTCTGCTTGATACAAGCTGGAGCATCATAGCAGACTTTGTTGTAAGGATAATGAAAAAAGAAGCAACATTATACAATATCCGTTTTGGAAAATTGCATCTCAGCATACATATGAACCTTACTGTCGGATCGGAAAGTATGTTTTCTAAAGAACCGGAGCAATTACAGAGGCAACGTCTCAGCTGGTAAGRTTATTTCAGTCATTCTCACAGACACACGTACTGATCGTAGTATAAGGTACAAATCTTAACACACAGACCAAACAAGGATGTGAACAAAACAATGTGAGTTGCTTTTCAGCTTACCTGCAGACGACGACGGTGTTTGTTTACTTAGTTGCTGCCGATAGACTGCAGGAGTCACTGGTGGGGGGGGTGGGGGTGCTCTGTGATGAGGAAGCTCGGCTTGGAGACACAGCCAGAGGAGGAGCTGATCCCAAAAGGCGGTTCTAGGAATTAGTCAAAGCAAGACTCTGAGCATGTTTTTGATGAGAGGATAACATTATTACATGATATAAAATTCAAAAAAGTAAGTTTTACTTGATATAGCTCCTTTAAGTGACTACACACAAAAACTTGTTTTGTTAATATTGCTCATTTTGGTGTTCCTTACGTTTGTTGGCAGTGGGCCTGTTTGTCTATCCTTGAAGGAAACAAAAAGAGGATATGTGGTTAAATGTGCTTACATTTTTCTTTTCTTTGTTTGGGTTTTTGTTGTTGAGCAGTGCATTTGTCAGTGTCTCAAAAACTGAGTTCATTGGTTTTACTTTAAAGGAGTTAAGTAAGAAACAAAACATTAAGCTGCCTGGCTTGGTGCAGTGTCTGTCATTGGCTCGTCTTCTCAAATAAAAGAGCCAAGAACTTATTATAAAACCACAACAGGGAACCCCCAGAAGCACATTTCTTGTATGATTAAAAAAAACAGATTTTCACTGGATTTTGTCATTATTTAATAGCAGCAGTATACTACTAAGCAATAAAAAAAAAACATTTTGATTAGACATGGAGTTTTCAATGAAATATCCTTCTCTCTGGTTGGGTTTGCTTTCAGGGGATTTATTTTATTATCTAATGTAGGATTTTTATTTATCAGAACAACTAAGCTACAATCAGATTGATGTGACAACTGTTCTCTTTAAGCAGACAMTCATTTGATAAAACATCTGCAAACCCGTTTTCAAACTCTTGTCATGGTGTGGCCTGCTGTGGTAGATTGTAATCTGTTTGACAAAAGTAAGCCGACGTGGCAGCTAAGTGAGAATGTGGAAACTCAGGGATTTTCCAGGGTCTACAGAGCTACAAATACTGAAAGGAATGCATGCCTTCCTCAGTTGCAGGACATTTCACAACAATACACAGCGAGAGGTCCAAAGAAACATGTCTTTGAAGGAGAGCTGACCACTACTGCACAATAAATATTGCATAATTGGCATGTATATGTAWGTGTGTGGGCGTGTTGAGTCATTCCAACCCTTAATCCCAAAACGTCAATGGAGAGACCCCTTACATTTTGTTCAGTCTGCCTCCTCTTCCAAGGCTTCTTTCTGTTTCTCATTAGAGCCTTGAGAAAGTTGTCAGGATGTACTGGGAGGGCCGACTACATCCGGCACGCACTGATTCAGAAATCCCCCTGCTTCACTCACATTCTSCCTGGGAATCTCATAAATCTGTGGGGAGCTTTTCAAATCCAAGACTTGATGCGTTTTGATACCTAAATATGTTTGACCTTTTGTTAACAGTTTTCACAGCTTTGGCGTTGAGGCACAGAGGACATTGGTAAATAATGAACTTGTTGAAAAATACACTTCAAATACACTTACTGCATCATGATGCTCATGTCTAGGGCTGGGTGATATGGCCCAAAAAAAGTCTCCGATTTTTTTCATCCCTAATTTGATTTTCGATTTTGATCGATTTTTGCTTCCCACTTAACGAAGTGCCTCGGTTTCAGGTGTCGAAACAAATTTGTTGTACTCCTGCTTTTTGTAGCAAGAGCCTTCAAACTGATTTTGCACTGAGGTGTTTGTTGCTCCAAGTCCAAGTTTGCGAAACCTAACCAGTTCCAGAAAACTGAAGAAACAGTGCCTTTTTTGGGATGTAGATCCTCTTTGCTAGCTGCCATATTGTCATGTCGTGTACCAAGCGTCTTGAGGGACAGGTGGGGTGACCTCTGAGCTACCGAAGCCCCAAAGAGTGCACTGGTGGGAAAAAAATCTTGATTTTCCCAAAATTAAATCTTTATAAATAGCAAATTCGAATTAATGATTAAATCGATTTATCGCCCAAACCTACTCATGTCTTACTTCAATAACTCTGAGGTTTAAGCTAATAAAACCAACAAAACCTAAATCTTTTCTGAAGTTTTTACTCTAAATAGTGCTATCAGTGGTCGGTTTATCCATAATATTTATCCACTTTCGTGGTGCACAATTGATAAAACCTGACAGCCAAGCTAAAATCCTTCAGGTTTTAATTTGAGATTTCTTAAATATGATGGAATTTAGGAGAATTTGGGAATTGAAATAGCTTTTCTGTGACATTATATTTTATAAATGATACTACTTGGTTGCCTTAGTCATGACTTACAGCTGCTAGATTGATGGTCCAGTCTGCCGCAGTTATAATTATTGCGTAGTCATCACAGTTTCGTGATCACAGTAAACATTAAATCTGCCAAATGTCAGCCGTTTGAAGGCAAAGCCTCAAACAGTATTTCATCTGTGGACTCATTCATGATAAGGTTATTTCATGATTGGATGTTTTTTACTTTAACACTGCGGGTATTGCGTTCTATACGTCTTCAAAGACCAACAATTGAAGTTATTTTCTTTTCTATTGATGCTGCATTTTTCCGAGACAGAAATAACGTCTGCCTCAGACGTAGCTACTGAACTGTTAGATGTTACTCTTCTCTGATGTTTCTAAATTGCTTTTTAAGTGTAAAGCATCGTATACTCTTGATATTTTTTTGAGTGTTACGCAGTTGTCTGTATCTGCTCGCGCACAGCTCAGTTATTCTACTCTGATCATAGTAAATATTAGCTGACGGTCCTCCCTGTACGCCTCAGCTAAGCCAGAGTTTCTGTAAGTGGGTCCCACTGTGTCTCACCATATGAAAAAGAAAACACTTTCCAGCACATTGTGTAGCATTAAAAGTGCTAATGACATGCAAACTCTGCTGGATAAAAACATCTATATTTTCCACGGCAGGGTACAGACTGCGGTTAATGCCTCACAGGGGAACTTTGAAACCAGATGGAGCCTATCCCACACAAAACATCATGAAAAGAACAGGGAGAGGAGGGTGGCATGAGGGGGGATCTGGAACAATTGCTGATGCATTTGGCAATTTTCCACTCTTGGATTTTTTTGTGAGGTTTATTAACATCAGCGAGCGCACGTCTGTGTTCACACGGGTCGTACGGCAGGAGTCACCGGGCAGTACTGCGGTACACGAGTAAGTCATTTCTTGATTGGGTTCAGTAATAAAAGTGAGGTTATTAGATTTTATGTTTCCTGGTGGAGTTGTTAGAGATGAAAGAGGAAGGAGAGAGCTTGGGACCGTCTGACTCTACATCAACTCTTTAGAGGGTGYCACGGACAGTCGGCTCAGCATGTTACTTCCTGAAGCATTTCTAATATTAGAGTAGCCTCGGGCTATTTCCGCAAAACACTCTCCCGTTCACACATGTTGCCACAATACAAGATTGATGTGTTGTGTCTCTGGCTTTGGGGCAAGTTATGAGCTCGGGATGTCTTTTTACCCACAACAGTGCAGACAGGTGATGACAGGCCATTTTGAAACAATTTGTGAGTAATGATAAGGTCAAAACTGCAACATTGGGCCTGTCTGTGCACCTCTGAACAAGCTCTGAATATTACAACTTGTCAACAAAGAGGGGGCAGAGGTGCAGGTAGTGCTGGGAAACAAAATGTTTTGTACAGACGTATTCAATTTTTCACTGTTTAAGAGCATGAGAGCGAGTACTCCTCCTTAATGGATTTGCTGATTATTAAAGGTGGCAAAATGTGGTTGGAGAAAGGTTTCTGTATGTTTTTAGTTATTTTGAGGCCAGTACAGTATCAACAACAACCTTAGTCTAACTTAGGGCTATTTAACTAAATTGCTCTGGGGGCCACAGTTAATGCTGACCAATGGCACAAGGGCCGAACATCCAGCAATTAAAGTCATTTTGTAAATAAACCAAGTATTACAACGATCTGTTACCTTTGAAATAGTTTATTTTGCTGCAGTAAATCATGGATATAACATACAGAACCCTATGTAATAAATGTGGTGATAGTAAAACAATATCAAAAACAAAAATAACACATCATGCCCCCATTTTAACACAAGTATTATTTTGACATCTCTGACTTGCCAAATTTTTAAACCAATTTTATATTCTCTTTCATAGTTTTATCTTCAACTGCTTGTAGTTTTAACTGTCTTAGATATTCACATAAATGGTTTTTACCAGCTTCTAGCCACGATTTTGATGTTTCAAACATGACTAAACACGTCTAGCTAAAAGAATTAAGAATTAAAAGTAGAAAATTAAAATTAAAAGAGAAAAGTAGAAAACTGGAGGTTTGGATTTAAGAGGTGAATGAACCAATTGGCGGGCCGCATTTTTGGGCCGCCAGTTGAGTAGCCCTGGTCTAACGTGTATGTATACATTCTATGCCCATCAGTTTTCCATTTTTGCTGACAAGGACATCTGCAGCCACAGGAAACACAACTGTTTGAGATTAGTGAGAGTCTTATTGTTTAATGCAGTATAGGAGCTTTAGGGTTAGAGCTTTTTAGCAATTAGTGTCACAGCAAAGGTTGCTGAGGTTTGTTTTGTTCTCATTGCAGCTTACACCCCGATTCAGCCCCACTCGCTGGTCCAGCAGCACAAGCAGCAGTTTGTGGTCCAGCAGAGCCAAGGTTCCCAAAGGACGACCGGCCAGCTGCTGCAGACGGCCTCCATTCAGCCGTTGCAGCATCCCGTCCCTGTTCTGCCCAAGCCTGCTCATCACCAGCCCTCCACTCCCAGCCAGCAGGCCACCATCTTCCACTCGACCATCAGTCCCCACGCCCTCCACTCCTCACTCAACCACGCCAAAGCCCAGCCTGTCCAGCTCACTGCCATCAACCTACAAATACAGCCAACAGTACGAACAGATACCTACAAGATTATTTTTATTATGCTTTACTTGCATCCATAAAGAGTTTATTTTCTGTACCTCCTCAAATAAAATGCTTGTGTAGATTGTCCATCATCAAGGACATAATTGATTGGTTTATTCAATGGTCTCATGTTCCATGTTGACATAAAAAAGACAAAACAAACATGATACACAGCAACAACAACAACAAAAAAGGAAAAACTTCTAAAAGACTTGCATACCAGTATATCCACAAAGATGACTGGTAGCATAATGCACTCCCAGAAGGATGTGACAACATTAAAATAAGACTTCTTGGATTTACACAAACGACACATAGATTTTTTAGGGGTGCAACGATGCACGTACCCATATCGAACCATTCAATACAGTGCTTTAGGTTCAATACACACTATGTATCGAACTATACAGATTTTTATAATTCATTTTATCAACTTGTCTTCTGAAGATGCTCTGTGTTGAAGGATCAGTGGATCTGTGTTCGACTACTTCACCTAGGCTGCATTGTTGAGCTCAGATCCACTGAGAAACTTGCTGTTTCAGCAACATTTAATTTAAAAACTGTATTTTTAAGGTTAAACAAATGTTCAGAATTAATTTCAATAAATTACAAGTTTAAAAGGGGTTTGGAAATTTCTCTTTTTTGTATCAAAAAAATATCAAACCATGAGACTAAATTATTGAACCGAACCGAATCATGAATATTCTGTATCATTGCACCCCTAAAATTTCTATATTAAATTTCTCATAGGTGCCTGAAATGTCTTGACACGTGCATTACAAAACATCTCACTTGCTCTACTGAATCTGGGTTTTTTTAAGCAGAACTCTCAAGGAKTCATTATAAGCAACTTTAACTTCTGCATACTAGCATGGTTAAGTCCAAACAGAGAATAGGAAGTTCCAAGCTTTAACCTGCACGAGGCACTCTGAAGCCAGACAAACAAAAAAAACTACAAAATTAAAGTGTATTTGYTTTATTTTTATGAACTTTTTGGAATTCCTAAATTTATTCTTATTGGCAGACATTCCTCCTTCATACGATAGTTGTATGACATGCATGACTGTTTTGATCATTGTTCTGTTTCCATTTATTCCTTTGTTTTCTCATGCACATTGCTCAGTTTGGTATTTTGAAAGTGGTAGCAAGAAAAGCTAAAACTGCTGTTCCAACAACACCCACGGTATTTTCCCCTATGACATACATGTGTAAAAGTACACCAGAATCGTCTGTGTTTTGAATTCTTGCTGCAATATTTTCCCACTGATGTGATGTTTTCCAACTCTGGTGGCTTTAAGTTTTTGAGTAATTAACCTTAAAAGTACTTACAGCCTCTAACTGTGTAACTGTGTAACTGTCTTTGATATTATTTCTCATATATTTCTTTTGCTTATTGTAGGCCCCTCGATTGGTTCAGGACTGTAAAGATAAACCAACATCGTTAGTGGTTAGAGAGACGAGTCAGACACCGTCCATGCAGCAACAGCAACTACAGCAGCAGCAACAAAAACAACAACAACAACAGCAGCAACAGCAGCAACAACAACAGCAACAACAACAGCAGCAACAACAGCAACAACAACAGCAGCAACAGCAACAACAACAGCAGCAGCAGCAACAACAACAACAACAACAACAACCTGCACCTTCCCCATCACAACCCTCCAAACCTGGAGAGCAGCCCAAGGATAATCCTGTTGCTGCTCCTGTTCAACCACGAGGTAAAGTCTTACCAGAAGTTTTTTAGGTAGTAGTTTGCTTTTAGTGTATAGTGTCGATACGATATAACAAGCAATGAGAACATTTAAGATCTATGTGACAGAATAATATTTGTCTTTGTTGGTGTTGTCCTCTGCAAGCTTAACTCAAGCCTGAATGCATAAAGTTGCAGCATTTCTCAGTCAGCAGCATTGYTAAAACTGGCTAAATTCATCACACTTATGATATGTATGTTATTCCACCAACTTCCAGGTTATGACAGACCTGTGCCTCTTTGATCACTTTTCATGCTAATTAATTTCCTCTTTTGCTARCTCTGATGTGGATTTCTTACTCACATGTCCAATCACTTAAATCATCCGCTGTTTCTAAATAYTGAAAACATCCACGACTAATAATCACTGACGTGAAAAATTTACCACGTGAAATAATTTAAAGCTAGTTCCTGCTTTCTGTACAGGTTTCTGTCATATTTTAGTGAGGCAGCTAATTTTCTTTCTTATCCTTGTCAAAGATGTGTTTCTGGTCAGAAACTAAAAATCWTTTAAATACTACAGAAATACTCAGTTTAAGCTATTCTCTTCTGTCTTATAGCACTATTCCAAACCATGTAATAGAATTACGCCTAATGTAATTTTTTTTAATTCTTAAAGAAATGTGCAGTTGGAAACAAAAACTTTTCCTAGCTGTAACATTCATGTCTTTGATGAAAGTATCCACATCTGAGCCAAAACATTTCCTTTTTGCGAATTAAAGACCTAATATTTTTTTGAAGGAATGCATATCACCTGCTGCCTGTCATGCTAGAGTTTAGAGCATTTCAAATTGAAAAATGACATGATTTGTAGCAGAATTACAAGCTTGTGGTCCTCAGAATGTGTYGTGAYTGACTCRGCTACCASCACACCGAATRTTATTGCAKAATCTSTAAAACTGATGAATTATCGCTTATTTAGTTTTTTATAAGGTCAGTTGACTGTGGCAGRCATAAATTGGCTCCAAAGGATAATAAGCTGTAGATGCTCTTATATATTTATCACATGACTAGCAAAATACACTAAATTTAAGTTAATCACTAAGAGCTGAAGAGTTGAAAATCTGAAAAAGGTTTCATGCTGGTATATTATATWAGGGTTTAGAGGCAGTTGGGGCAGGGGCACCAGTGTCTGTAGTCCTGTTTACRGCCCTGCTGAATCCTGCTGCGTGTGTTCATGTTTACTGAAAGAGTTGGTGTCGCCGGTGCACTGGCTGCTGTCGTCCAAACCAAACAAAGAGAGGAGGAGGGAGAGAGAGAGGGAGACATTTCCAGCTGAAGCTGGAGGCTCCTGTTCCCGGTGGAAACATGTAGATCTGAGCTGGATCGGAGCCGCAGACAGCGGCTGCTGTGGGAGGAAACACGGAGGTGGACCCTGCTTTTTTTTTCTTTTCATTTCTTTTTTTATTACCAAACGTGAAGCGGAGCTGCTGCTCAGTCTCAGCTGCAGATCTGCGTGTTTCTGTCAGTTCATTAGAGCAAAGAAAAAAACAAACAAACCGCACATGCTTTCAGTTCCATCAGCGTGGTAAGAAAACTCTTTTACTTTCGTTTATCGACGAGCAGAGCTTCAGATGTGATGCAGCAGAAAGAGCTGAGCTTATTGTTTATCACGGAGAAACTGTTTACCTGGTAAATACAATGTTTACTCTTTGTTAGATGTTAAACATAACGGATATTTAAGTGATTTCTCAAAGGTTTGGGATGATTTTGAAACTATAACTAAATGTTTTGGTAATCTTTAACCTATTTCTTTATCATTTGCATATCAAAAACTTTTMATTACTTTGTCTAAAACTTTGCCAAAAACACCCAAAAATTGCAGTTTTTGATGGCAAACTAAAGTGTTTTGCTTGGTAATTTACTAATCTGTAGTTGAAAGCATATTATTTACTTAAATCGTTGTTGTATATAAGATGTCTTTGATTTGTGCAATCCAAAAGAAACTTAAAAACTTATCAGTTTGCCATCATTGAAAAGTGTACGCATAACATTTAGGTGTGTGAACCTTCAGCAAATTTGTTTGTGCTTTTTATCATCTGGCTGCAGTTGTGGAGTGATGTTTTTTTTGTCTGTCTGGTCATTTGGTGGTACTGTTAGCAAAATATTTATTGAATCACAGAGTTTTAATGAAACTTTCAGAGGGTTATCACTGGATGAAACTGATTACCTTTTGGGGTCAGTCGATTCTGGATAGGAGGCTGCCACAGCTGACTGAGACATCAGTGAACTTTACAGAAACTAAGCTTTATTTATACCAGAGGTCCTGAAGATCCTTAAAAAGTCTTAAAGGTTATTGTATTCATCAATCCAAAAATAAGGCCTTAATTAGCCTTAAAAGGCCTTAAATCATCAATCTTTCAGAAGTCTTAAAAATGTCTTAACATTGTAAATAGGATGATTGTAATTCATCTCAAATATTAAAATAATTGGTAAAAATGTATTTTTTTAAGTATTCACATGCAGACATTACCCTTTGATACCACTTCCTGTTATTTATCATGCAAGTATCTCAGTTGTTCATCTGAGCAATGTGAAATTTGTTTTGAAATATGTTAATGTTGTCTTTCCAAAATGGTATTCACTTTTTTTTTTTTTACAAAAAATTGATGTCACCAGCACTTTAAGGTTTCATCTACAGCAAACTGGGCTTGAGACCCCACTGTGGGTCTTAAAACTCCAAATTTTGGGTTTATTAGAGGATTTCCAGGAACTAAATTAAGTTTAAAACTGAGTAAGAACTTTTCTGCTATAAAAACAATTGGTTTATTAGCAATATTTGAATACTTCAACCAAAAAAATACTTTGATTCATGAGTTTCTGCCAGTTTTTATTATTTTGTCATGTGTGTTTATTATGAAATTGGTCTTAAATTGAATTTCCCATGGCATTAAAAAGTCTTTAAAGTAACTTTCCTTAAACTGTATACTGTTATACAGACAATAAGCATTTTTTTAACAAAAGTCAGTGAAATAATCCATCAGCAGGTTTTGTTTTTATGTTTAATYTATGGTAAACTTGTGTGTTTGTTAGCATATCATCTGTTTCATCTTAAAGGTGTTCTTTTCTTGCTCAGGAGTGGGTTCAACCAAAAGGTCGAGTGCAGCGACAGAGAACTCCTCTCCAGCCATGACCTCGGGGAATGAGAGCGAGGCGCCCACCGTGACGGGCAGCACGCCGCAAAACGGAGAGAACAAACCTCCRCAGGCCATAGTGAAGCCCCAGGTCCTCACGCATGTCATCGAAGGCTTCGTCATCCAGGAGGGAGCGGAGCCATTTCCCGTGTGTGTGAGTGTCCCGACCTCAGGTTTAACTGGCACGGAAACACGGTAAACAACCCGGAGCCATCGTCAGGCTCTTCAGTGTGCCTGCCTGCAGGGAGCTGTCAGCAGGGAAACACAAACCCTCTGCTGCTGCTTGTAGTGACAGCTCGCAGCGTCTCTTTAGATCAGTCATTAATTATGGGACGAGGGTCCGTTTGTGACAACATGCAGATGGATGGAGATGTGCGAGMGTAACTACCAGAACATTTACTTCCTGTTGAGATGTGAGGAATCTTTCTCCATGAAAATGATGCATGTTTGTCTCATTGTTTTATAGAGTGAGACTGCGTGCCCGGGGTTAACACATCATCAATCTTTTTAATTCACTTGAATGTGTGTAAACTCTGGACACTTTGTACGCCTCCTTCTGCTCAGTTGGTGCAAATGCTCATCAGATTTTTACCCACATTGCATGTTTAAATGTACACGTCACAAATTTGTAAAATAAATAAATAAATAAAATAATTCCCACTCTCCAAATAACATATTTTCGCCAATAAAGTTTGACTCTGGACACTTTGTACGCCTCCTTCTGCTCAGTTGGTGCAAATGCTCATCAGATTTTTACCCACATTGCATGTTTAAATGTACACGTCACAATTTTGTAAAATAAATAAATAAATAAAATAATTCCCACTCTCCAAATAACATATTTTCGCCAATAAAGTTTGACTATCCTTTTTTTATATCCTCTCATCTCTAGTAAAAATAATCTAAATACCCTTAATATCCAGATTTAAGAGAGTTTAGCCTCCTTAATATTTGTTTTGTTTTGACCCAATAATCACAATATTGTTGCTTCAGCAATGCAGTCTGATTGCAGTTGTTGTGTCTATTTCGTGAGGAATGTGGCATAACGTAAATATTTTTCCTCAYGCCCCAGGTGGACCGTCTGCCCATTCTCATCGACAGCCTGAAGAAACTGGACCATCAGCTCTCTTCAGACCCGGACAAAACCCCGCTCAGCAACGCAGCGAACACCGACTCTGAGCCTGAAGACCTGAACCAACCAGGTGAGACCGAACAGGTCCAAGTCTTTGTGTACTTTCATGTGCATGTGATGTTGGACCTGCTAACTAGAGAACCAGAGGGCTGCGATGTGATTATGAAACGATGATTGATGCATTTTAATTATGTTAAAACTTTCATGCTTATGGTTTTATTTTACACAAACACATTAATATTTTCMTGCCTAATAAAGTGTGCAACTTAATAATTAATAGTTATAACTTATGTCAGAATATCATTGACTGCTGCTAACAGTTAGCATACRTGCTAACTTTAGGTTAAAAATACCATTAAAAAGCTAATGCGATTAGCGTTGTGTTTATTACTGAAGTTTAAACACAAATCAAACATTTTAAGGACATTCTTTTATTAACGCTGATGGCAGCTTTTCTTTAGCCCCTTGTATTTATTCTTTAAAACAATTAAAAAGAAGTTAAGAACAAAAATTTTGAAACATGTTACCAACTGAAACCCTAAAGAATCAGTCTTTGTATCGTTTTATCATGCTACTTAGGCTCATTATTTCATCTTTTTGTGTTTTATTCAGTATTTTATGTCAGGCATCATTATTCAGACATGAATGGTTCTTTTCATAAGACTTGCTGTTATTCAGTCTCACGTTTCTGCTGCTTTCTTTCAGAGAAAGACGAGCCCAAGCTGACGTGTGAATACTGCGGCTGGGTGGACTTTGCGTACACATTCAAGGGCTCGAAAAGGTTYTGCTCAGTGGTTTGTGCGAAAAGGCGAGTCACCTGGGTGTTTACACCTCCTTATTTGTGACAAATTTACATAACAGTGCACAAAAGGGTAAGCCCGTAAAAGCCGTGTCTCTTTTCTGAACAGGTACAATGTGGGCTGCACRAAGCGGGTCGGACTTTTCCACCCAGAGAGGAACAAAGCATCAAACCGCTGGTGCCGAAGATCTCTCGGCCGCTCCTCTATAGAGGCTAAAAAGCAGGTAACAGACACACGTGGGCAGTTCTTTGTTGCTGTAAACCTTCCTATAACACTTCACCTCTCATCATATTWCTGCTTCCTACACACATTTTTTTATTTACCTTGCACTTTTTACRCCTCGTGTTTTTTAATGAGGTCCAGCTTGATTTGTGTCGTCCTGATTGTCCTTCTCTGTGTTTGAGGGTCATTAAGTGCTCTATGATCTTCAGCAGCCTTTACTGATGACGAGCACGAACAGGAAGGCTTTGGTCAAGATTTTTCGCCCACTTCACTAGTTCTAGATGTGATTCTGTGAAACTTGAAGATTAAAAAAGCAAGAATGTAAATGAAAATGGTAAAGTAGCAAAAAATGCAGGGGAAAAAAGTTTTATTTGCTTCAAAAAGCTTTTGGCTTCCATTCTAGAAATAACTTTGGTCATATATAGTTTTACGTGGGTTTAAGTTAAGTTGGTTTTAAAATTTGACCCATCACATCAAAACGAGAATTAAGTCCAAAAGTGGTAAATGGAGAAAAAGGCAAATATAGTGTTTGACTAAAATG